ATCCTTTTTTGCTGCTTCTGCTGCACAAACTCCCACTACCACTACTGCAGCAGCAGCAGCAGCAGCAGCATATACTGCAGCAGCAGCAGCAGCAGCAGCAGCTACGCTGCATGCAGCAAGTGGTAGTCATCTGTTTCGTTGTTGAAGTTGGCGATGTGTCTCTTAATGGCGGATCCTTCCGCCCAATTAAGGAAGTCTTCTTGGTCACGAGTTATGTGTAAAGAGGGACAGCTGACTACCTCCGTCCCTAAACGAATATCTTTATGCAAAAAGGAGACAAAAAGGAGACAGAAAGGAGATAGGAGAGAAGTAATAGAGTATTAAGGAAGAATATGGAGAAAAAGGAGACAAAAAGGAGACAAAAAGGAGACAAAAAGAGACAAAAAGGAGACAGAAAGAGGGACAGGAGACTACCTCCGTCCCTAAACGAATATCTTTATGCAAAAAGGAGACAAAAAGGAGACAGAAAGGAGACAGAAAGGAGATAGGGGAAAGGTAATATAGTATTAAACAATATTAGAGAAAGAAGGAAAAAAAAAGGAGACAAAAAGGAAAAAAAGAGACAAAAAGGAGACAAAAAGGAGTCAGAAAGAGGGAGAGGAGACTACCTCCGTCCCTAAACGAATATCTTCACGCAAAAAGAGACAAAAAGGAGACAAAAAGGAGACAGAAAGGAGACAGAAAGGAGACAAAAAGGAGACAGAAAGGAGACAGAAAGGAGACAGAAAGGAGANACAGAAAGGAGACAGAAAGGAGACAAAAAGGAGACAGAAAGGAGACAGAAAGGAGACAGAAAGGAGACAGGAGAAAGGTAATAGAGTATTAAACAAGAATAGAGAAAAAAGGAGACAAAAAGGAGACAAAAAAAAGACAAAAATAATAAATAAACAAATAAATAAGCGAATAAATAAAATAAACTAAATAAAATAAATAAAATAAATAAATGAAAGACAAATGAATATAAAACATAAAAAAAAGATAAAAACACCAAAAAAAAAAATAAAAAGCAAACAAATGCATAAAAAAATTAATAAAACAAAATAAATAAATAAATAAATAAATAAATAAATAAATAAAATAAATAAATAAATAAATAAATAAATAAATATAAATAAATAAATAAATAAACAAACTTACGTCCTTGTTCTACTAGTTGCACAGCTCGTCTTAAATAAATGAATATAAAACATAAAAAAAAGATAAAAACACCAAAAAAAAGCAAATAAAAGGCAAACAAATGCACAAACAAATAAAACAAAACAACTAAACAAATAAACAAATAAATAAATAAATAAATGAACAAACTTACGTCCTTGTTCTACTAGTTGCACAGCTTGTCTTAAATAAATGAATATAAAACGTAAAAAAACGATAAAAACACCAAAAAAAAGCAAATAAAAAGCAAACAAATGCAAAAACAAAAACCTAAACAAAATAAAACAAATAAACAAACAAATAAATAGATAAAGAAAGAAAGAAACAAACAAACTTACGTCCTTGTTCTACTAGTTGCACAGCTTGTCTGAGGTTAGTGGCCATATGAAGGCGCATTAAAACGACGGGAAGACGGCGACGGCAAAAGGCAGATGCTGATAGTCCTTCTACAGCAGAAAGATCTCCTTTTTTAGATATTACACCCATTCTATACCTAAATAAAAACAATAAACAATAAATAATATTATAATGTTTTTTATCGTCTTTGGTTTGGTGTTTTAGGGAGAAAAACGAAAAAAAACAGCAAAAAGAGACAAAAAGAGACAAAAGGAGACAAAAGGAGACAAAAGGAGACAAAAGGAGATATTATACTGCAGAACTGTCTCCTTTTTTGGATAGTACACTCATTCTATTTACCTAAATAAAAACAATAAAGAATAAATAATATTATAATGTTTTTAATGGTGTTTGTTTTAGTGTATTAGGGAGAAAAAAACAAAAAAAAAGCAAAAAGAGACAAAAAGAGACAAAAAGAGACAGAATAGTATATTATGGTGATGTTTTAATTTGTTTGTTTTAGTGTTTAATAAAGAAAAAACAAAAAAAAACAAAAAGAGACAAAAAGAGATAAAATAAATATATTATAAAGAGAAAAAACAAAAAAAAGGAGACAAAAGGAGACATACACCAGAAAGGTATTACATCCGTTCTATTTACCTAAATAACAACAATAAACAATAAACAATATTATATATTTATTTATTTATTTATTTATTTATTTGTTTATTTATTTGTTCATTTAATTTATTTATTTATTTATTTATTTATTTATTTATCTTAATAACAACATTTGTTTTAGTACTATTGAGAGAAAAAAACAAAAAAAAAAAACAAAAAAAAACAAAAAAAAACAAAAAAGAGACAAAAGGAGACAAAAGGAGACATCTCTCTCCTTTCTTTGCTATTACACCCATTCTCTATCTAAATAATAAAAAATAAAAAATAAAAAATAAATAAAAAATAAAAAATAAATAATAAATAATATATATTATATAATAATATATTATAATTAATTTTATATTTATAGAAAAAAAAAAACAAAAAAAAAAGCAGCAACAGACCTTCTCCTGACAAAAACCCTAAACCCTAAACCCTAAACCCTAAACATTAAACCCTCTAAAAAAAAATAAACAAACAAACAAACAAATAAACAAATAAATAAATAAAAACAAAAATAAAAATAAAAATAAACAAACAAACAAACAAAGATAAATAAAGATAAAATGCATTAGGAGATATCTAGTGCAGGATAGAGAAGACTACCACAGGTATAAATATAAATATAAATATAAATATAAATATAAATATAAATATAAATATAAATAAATAAAATAAATAAATAAAATAAATAAATAAAATAAATAAATAAATAAATACAATAAATATATTTATTTATATTTGTTTATATTTGTTTAGTTGTAGAGAAAAGAAGTAAAAAGATATAAAAAAAAATAAATTTGGGGTGTACGTACAGCTTGTCTAGCAGCAGATTGGTCATTTGCATAAAAAAAATAAAAAAATAAAAAAAACAAAAAAAAATAAAAATAAAAATAAAAAAAAATAAATTTGGGGTGTACGTACAGTTTGTCTAGCAGCAGATTGGTCATTTGCATAAAAAAAAATAAAAAAATAAATAAAAAACAAACAAAAAATAAATAAATTTGGGGTGTACGTACAGCTTGTCTAGCAGCAGATTGGTCATTTGCATGCGAAATAAATCATCAGCAGCAAACCGCCGCAGCATAGAAACTAATTTTGTTATTAAACCACACAGCTTGTTGTACCTATACACCAGCAGCAGCAGCAGCAGCAGCAGCAGCAGCAGCAGCAGCAGCAGCAGCAGCAGCAACAGCGGCAGCAGCGGCAGCAGCAGCAGGGGGAGCGGCAGCGGGAGCGGCGGCAGCAGCAGGAAGAGGGAGAGGAGGAGAGCAGCAGCAGCAGCAGCAGCAGAAGAGCAGCAGCAGCAGCAGCAGGAGGTGCAGCAGCAGCAGCAACAGCAGCAGCAGCAGCAGCAGCAGGAACAACAGAAGGAGCATTAGTATTATATAAGCAACAATATTATAATAAAAAAGAAAATAATATATAATTAATATATATAAACATAATTAAATATAAATGTATTTATTTTACTTTATATATAAATATATATAAAAATATATTTATTTATTTGTATATTCATCTATTTATTTGTTTATTTATTTATATTCATTTTTATTTATGTTTATATTTATGTTTATATTTATATTTATTTGTTTATCCATTTATTTATATTTATTTATTTATTTATTTATTTATTTATTTATATTTATTTATTTATATTTATTTATATTTATTTATTTATTTATATTTATTTATTTATATTTATTTTATTTATTTATTTATTTATATTTATTTATTTATTTATTTATTTATTTATTTATTTATTTATATTTATTTATTTATTTATTTATATTTATTTATTTATTTATTTATATTTATTTATTTATTTATTTATATTTATTTATTTATTTATAATTATTTATTTATTTATTTATATTTATTTATTTATTTATAATTCTCTATCTCTATCTAATACCTGCTAATGTATTTATTTTTTCTGTTTGTTTTATCTCTTTTTACTTCTTTTCTCTACAACTAAATATAAATAAACAAATATAAATAAATATAAATAAATATAAATAAATATAAACAAATATAAATAAATATAAATAAATATAAATAAATATAAATATATTTATTTATATTTATTTTATTTATATTTTTATCTGTGGTAGTCTCCTCTATCCTGCACTAGATACCTCCTAATGTATTTATTTTTTTTTACTTCTTTTTTCTACAACTAAATAAATATAAATAAAAATAAATAAATATATTTATTTTATTTATTTATTTATTTATTTGTTTATTTATATTTATTTTATTTATTTTATTTATTTATTTATATTTATATAAATACCTGTGGTAGTCTTCTGTATCCTGCACTAGATACCTCCTAATATATTTATTTTCTTTTCTTTCTTTTTACTTCTTTTTTCTACAACTAAATAAATATAAATAAAAATAAATAAAAATAAATAAATATAAAT